ATATATGTGCCTGCCAGCATCATGTTATCCTTTTGCAAAATATATTTGAATATATTAATTAACTCGTAAAATTATTGGAAGTCACAAAGTTTCATATTAACCAAAGCAAAATCGAATTCTATCTCTGAACAAATTGTTTATATATATATATATATATAGATGTCATTGATGTTTAATTTAGGTCAAAAAGTTCTCTATTTATTAATGGATACAAAGACAAGAAAAAATTACGTGTAATAGGTCAACTAGCTGAAATGACACAATACATTATTTATTACTGAATTATGGTTAACGTTGAAAACAATGGCCATATAATCTTTAAAGTAAAGACTGGCGTCTACCTTTAAATAATAAATAAACGAGATTGGCATTTCTCATTCTTAATATTTTATTTTAAATCTTTTGACTTTTATGTTCGATACAGTATCACAAGTGATCAGTAGATGTGAATTGAAGAAGTATTTGAAAAAGATGATCCAATAAGATTCAAGACATTTACAGTTTACTGAAGATATGACTCTAGATATAAAAAAATATGCATATCAAGAATTAGAATAGAGTCCTAGTAGATAAGATAATCACAATATCTTTTTTTTTTTGGTTTCCCACCCGATGTTCGGAGTCCACACTGAAGCTTCGACAATATTCGGGTCGCGCACTAAAGAGCCTATTCGGGGGTGGCGGTCCCAACAAGATTTTATCCACACCCAGAACTTGAACCCGAGACCTCTAGTTAAGGGTGAAGCACTCCCACCAATGCACCACAACCCATGTTGGTGATAATTACAATATCTAGTTTCTCTTATTAGTGGTATTAAATCCCCCCTCCCCCTTATCTTGCTTTCTTATACTTCCTTTTATCTTTGCTTCGATTGTCATATTATTTGTGGATGTTATCGGTATTCTATATAGTGTACTATACATATTCTCTTTTCCTTCTTATTTTGTTATGATGTACTTGAGACGAGCGCTATCAAAAACAACATTTCTATCCATTAGGGATAAGGTTGTATACATACTACCATTTCCAAACCTTTCTTCAGAAATTTCACCGCGTATATTGTTGTTGTCGTCGTCGTCTCAAAAATAACATTTGGAAAAGGTGAGGTGTACATACGTAAACCTTACTCCTACTTTTGTGAGTTAAGTAAATTGTTTCCAATAGACCATCGACTTCTTAGAACATCGTTCGAAAAAAAATGTAATAGTAAATAAGCAGTAATAAAATATAATAGAAATCAAAGATAATTACCAACAATAAAAATACTAGAGATAATTATAATAGGTAAAAAAAGTCTTAATAAAAAAAATATGTCGACTATTTACTTTAATTAATTAATTTTTTTTAATGTATCACTGCTATATTCATCCCCTCTCCAAGTCATATTCCACTAAACCATAATTTTAGAACTCCATTAATCATGATTAATCATTACAAATACTTTGTAAAATTTTGTTTGAAAAAGTAGTAGTCGTAAAAAAGTAGCTAAAATTGCACGAATTGTTTTTTTCTTCTTGTTAATTAATTATAGTGGAATTTTGCAACTTGTACCATAAAGTAGATTAAGTTTCTCTGTTTCAACTAACTTCAATTTTCAATTCTAATGTTCACATTTAATTGATACTCTCCGTCCCATTTTATGTGGCAACATTTCCTTTTTGGTCAGTCCCAAAAAGAATGTCACATTTCCTTATATGGTAAGTTTATAAAGGTACAATTCCTCTTTTATCCTTGTTGGTCCCACTTAATCTTAAAATAATACTCCAATACATTTATGAGGAGAGAGAAAAAAGAGGCTACTTTTTAAAGGGCAATTTGGTAAACATTTCAAAGTCTTCATTTATTTCTTAAACTCCGTGCCCGGTCAAATGTTGCCACATAAAATGGGACGGAGGGAGTAGTACTTTCTCCGATCAAAATTAGTTCGTCTCTATTTAATTATTTTTAAAAATTAAATGAAATAATTATATTAATTTAATATTTTAAGATTATATATATGAAACTGGAAGTTATGTCACAAATATATATTTATATCAATATACTGATAAAGTATATTTTAAAATATTGATCAAAATTCACATAATTCAACTATCGATACACCAAACTCTTAATTTATGTGTTTTATAATTTTAATATCTTATTAACACTTGATTCGTATAAATTTGCACTAATTAACAAATCGACTATGGGTTATAAGAAGACTTCTTCCGATAAACCAAAATATTATTATCATGAAATATGACTATTTAAAAATATATATATATATGGACGAAAGTGACAAGTAAACGATATTTAATTTCTATGTATTAATTAGGGTGCAAACCACAAGACAAACTTAATATTATAGAGAATTCGAATATAAAATCGTGGTTCACAGTCCAAAATAAAAATCGAAGATGAAAAGGAAAAATTAAGAACATTATTATTGCCATAATGTATGTTATGATTTCATCAATAAAATTGGATACTATTAATCTCATGAATCTTGAAATAGTCTCCAAAATTAATGTCGTAATCACTTTGAAATAGTCTCATTAGGTAAATTTTTGGCTTATACATATCTTGTTACTGTTAATTTATATACTTATCAAAGGGATCTTAATAAAATGTCACATTATTTCACATATATATGTTACCTAATCTTGTTGACAAGGTTAATGATTTTATTTTACAATGACTTAATTCCCTTTTAATTTGTTTAAGTATTAGTTAGTGACATAAAATTCTTTATAATAAGTATTAATAATTAGATAACAATATTTTTAATTATTTATGTGGTTATCGTTTTTGTTAATAACATTTCATAGCTTAGTTAGCACGTTTTGACATTGTGAAACTACAGTTAATCAAACTATACGTTGAATTCGTCGTTCAATTATTATCTTTATTTTAGGATTATATAACCGATCCAAACTAGTTGAGATTGAAGTGTACGTAGTTGTATATATTTATACTTTATATACGACTTATACACGGTGTGGATCCAGAATTTATATTTTGTACTTTCGAGTATAGACTTCTACCGCCACATCAATTATTTGATTTAGATTAAAGTTACTGAATTAGAATAAACTTAGTTGTTACACTCTAAACCGGCCCCTACCTTACATGGAGTGCATTAGTTTTTTTCTTTTTTTTTCTTTTACCTTGTTTACTTTTGAAATGGTCAACAAATAGAAAATTAGCTCTATGATATAACCTTCTTAAAATTTATATTGGAAATTTTAATATATATACATAATATAAAAGACAGATAATATGTAGCTTAAAGTTTAAGTTTATTAAGTAATGCTAGTGAAATACTCACTAGAGTGACACTTTTCTTAATTAATTGATAAGAATGTTGAATAAATCAACTTATATTTTTAAAATGTTACTAGGTAAATCCGGCTAAGCTTTCATAATTAAAAAAATTAATTTATTATTTTGGTGATTAAATTTTTTTACTAACCAGCAAATTCAACTATGGGATTTAATGGTTTAGCGCTGAACAATTCAATGTGTAGACACATTCCAAGTGAATTACTCCTAATTTATCCACACAAAAAAAAACCAAATGTTTCTGACCCGATATTTAATATACTCTTTGAGCCCCGACTAATTTGGAATCACGCTGTGTAAGGTTCATTAAAGGAAGAAATGCTCAACAATAACATATCAAGTGAAATCTTATAAAAGGGGTTTGGAAAGGGTAGAGTATATGCAAACCTTACCACTACCTCATGGAGGTAGAGAGGTTGTTCTGAAAGACCCTCGGCTCAAGTGAGTCAAACTCAAGTAAAAAAAAGAAGAAAACAATGAAGAACGCATAACAATTAAAAAAGAAAAACATGCAATAACAGTAGCAAAGGAGGAAATGCTCACTAACAAAAAAAAAATTCCTTCTAAAGGCTCGAACTCGAGACCCTTGATTAATTAATGTCCTAACCATTTGTCATAATCCTTGATTGTACATATCAAAACTCGCTTAATCGTATTATTTCAAATTAATTTGAAAGAGAGTTATACATGCAAACAATGAAAATTCAATAATAAGAGTCTAATCTTCTCGCTTAAGAATATGTGATACCTCGATTTGGTAGACGGTTGCAGTAGCTTACACATGGATGATAATTCTGTGGAAGGTCAACTTCCAACAGAGCAACCAACCAATCATCTTCCAATGACCTTTTCTAATAAATAAAAATTAATATATCTTTAAATGGTCATTATTGATAACTTAAAAGAGTAAATTTGATTTCACCTGCTTTACTCAAGTCACCTCATCCATATATGGAAAGTCTTACAGGGCAGGTTACATGACTGATTCCAGTGACCTCATTTAACAACTTTGTGTAATGGTGATATTTGTGCTAGCTTGCTCACACGTCGACTAATCAACGGGACACCTGCTACTTCTCAATAGTACAAAAGTATCGGATAACTCAGTCCACCAAAGCATTTCAAGCAACATACATACTTTCAAGCACAAACTAGCACCAAACAAAAAGATTCAAAAATTTAAATGAATCAATCCAACTACATTAGTCGGTATAATCTCACAAGTGGAGAGTGGAGTATAGGTGATATGATGTATGCAAAGTCGCGAACCTTACCTCTACCTTAGTGGGATAGAGAGGTTGTTTCTGATACACAAATACAACATGTCATAATGATATTGCAAATGGCGAATACAAAGAATATGAACACTTGAAACTCTTTTGTTCTTTGTCAAATTATGTAACTGTACAACAAAATTCAAAGCATGTACTTTGTCTAGGGAAGTTTTTGGGCACATCCACAACCAAATAATTTAGTGAGCTCAAAATTAATCAGCTGCATACATAGTTGTTATATACGATTTTATTTAACCGAGTGATGATACAATACTATGGTACAACAGACAACAATACAGAGTTCTTGATATAAAGTTAGAGATAGCTATCTCAAGATTGAATCTGGATCATCTTCATCATCAAGATCCATGTCATTTGATATTCGGAACTTCTTTCCATCTCGTGGTCCTGTTCTTCCCTTCTTTGGTTTACCCCTACAGTAGTCGTTGCATGAGGCTTACTCATAAACATCGTGGAAGAATTAAGCAAAAGAGCAAATATAAAGAAGTTGTAAGTATATTTTGAGAATTCCATCCTCAATCCAAGTATCTTAGCAAATAGTAGGCTTAAACGTTAAAACAATTCCAATAAATGCAACATATCTCTTTCATAAAAAGTAGAACATACTGTCCGTTATTTGCAAAACCTCCGCCCCTCATGCGACCTTGAGTAGGATCTGGTCTTCCATCTGCGGAAAAAAACAAAAATAGATGATCAAAAGCTTCTATAATAACAATTCAATGTCTGTTATAATCTATATGATTTGTCTAAGTTTGGTTTGGTGACGTGACATTCCCCAGAAACAGCTTGAGTTTAGTTCCCCGCCCCAAAAGAAACCTGCAAGAGCTTTATATTATAAAGTGTGTGGAACAAAAAAGACTAACCTTCACGTCCAAGTCCAAGCTCTTCCGCCTAAACATAAATGAATTTAACAGCCGCATCAGGCATCTATTAAGATCAAACGATGTGCTACATTTTAAGTATATACACTCGGCCAATGTATCAAATCAGTTGAAATTATAGATAGTGCAAGGTGATTCAACATAAAAATAACAAGATAGAATCAGATCTATGAATTTGCAAATACATGCATGAAACTTCAAATTCGTATTGGACTTTCAACCATTTCTTCCCTAAATCTATGTGTGCGCAAAAACGTTGAAATTGAAGGAAGCTTCTATTTGATAAGTGAAAAATTAAGGAAGTTCTGAGACATTAGAACAGAAAAACAGGTGTTGGGATAACCCACAGGTAGTTCAAATTGTTCAAGGGTAAGTGGTGTGGAAGTGGTATTGCAATTAAATCAATAACAACGATTAGACCCTGGAACTGTAAAAACAGTAATTACTACTGAAGGCATATGTTAGTTGTCTGAATTCCCACTTAACCATTCATGCAGTAGTGTGGAGAAGATTTCGGTTTCAAATTAAAGAAATTACAATCCAAATTCAAAATAAATGAACTCTGTTTGGTTTAACCTTTTAGAGTTCATTTTCAGAAGCGACTTGAGGTGTTAAGTATTCCTTAAGCGAAAAAATGCGAGACTTAAGGAAATTTAATTGAAATAAGGGTTAATTTTAGGTCTAATTGTAAAACAATTGCAAGAGAGACTTGCATCTTCTTCCTGCTGCTGCTACTCGAAGTTGCTGTTCTTCTCCTCCAATACTAATGGAGGCTTGCACATCATCTTCTTGTTGCTGCTAGTTCTAGTATCTATTATTTAATTTTTCATTTCAGAATTGAAAGATTTGCTTAATATGTTATTTCCATCGAGTTCTTGTTATTTACAACAACAAAAAATACCCAGTGTAATCCCACAAGTGGGGTTTGGGGAGGGTAGTGTGTACGCAACCTTACCTCTACCTTGTGAAGGTACAAAAGTTATTTATATGGTTATTTATTGGTGGAAATTAATGTTTTTATTTTTTTCTATTAAATTGAGCTTCAGTTGAAAAAAGCATGCACTTCACTTCACGCTTCTCGCTTCGGTGAAGCGACCCTCGATGCTTTTTTTTTTTCTTTCCGCCTCTCTCTATCCAAAACACTGCATAATTCTCATAAACACAACTTAATTGAACCCATCACAGGGATTTGGATTGCAAGAACAACTACCATTTCCTTCTCTGGGAACCCTATTTCAGCCTTTAAAGCAAATTTTTCTTGCTTCGCCTTTGCGTATTTTAAGTATCAATACTTCAAAAATTTATTCATAACATAGCTAATGGGATCAATATTATTATCATCATCCTAGCAGTGCTCAAATTATCGAACCTAAAGCTTATCTTAAAAGGCATGGTTTAAAGAACTTGTAAACAAAATCATAATATCCCAATGTAGTTGTCAAAAAAGTCTCGTTTAGGGGGAGATTATTCTCTCGATAGTTTTTATACTTTCTTTTAGATTAGTTTTCTCATATATAGGTCATTTGGCCAAACCATATTAAATTTATCATGCATATGATATGAGATTCAGCAGATATTCTTTGACTTTTCTTTTTAGGGGTTAGGGGACAGAATGGTTTGCAGGACCAGTTAATGCCAAACGCTTAAGTATAAGCAGTGCAAAACACGGTTTGAAGACTAATTTTTATCAAATTGCAACAACATAAACATCATCAGTAAAGAACTTAGCAAATATCAGAAATTCCACGAACAAGTAAGCTCTAAAGAACTCAAATACATACCGCTGGTGAAGTGACTGAAGACAATGAGAATAACCTATCTTCAAGCTGGAATTTTCTTGACCTTTTGAGGCTGCCAGATGACATAAAAGTGAAATTCTTACGAGTAAATCATTGGGAAACGTATTATGACTAGATAGTGAAACAAACAATCACTTCTGGAAAAGGAAACAACCTCCTAATTCATGAAAGCAAAGTCAGATACTGGCCACAAGTACAATTAAATCAGCCCAAATATTTCAGTAATATGAACCTAAATAATGCACCAATATTATTCACAAAATTCAATTACAGTATAGATATGGATCAAAAAATTTAATTTAAGAATATTCACCGAGCTTTTTTAACATATTGGTCAGGTCATTGAATGTTTATTCATTCAGGATAGTGCTTGTGGTGTTCCATGTATGAAAGAAGCTTAAGGGTTATCAGAATCTAAAATCAGCTTCCAAATGCTAGTGCATTGGATGTCATCGACCATATCCCTAACTGGTGGCTCGTTAAGCTTACTGAACAATTACTCAGATCTCCAAAACTTTTGCTTTTTGTTTGCAGGAAATTTCATTAAATTTGCACTCTTTAATGGACAAACTCCGGGAAGAGTTACTGTAGACAGAAACCTTAAATTTGTCTAGAGATATGCTTTTCTTTTCTTATATAGTATCTAGAGATACGGATTGTAACTCAGAGGATAGTAAAGTCTCATGGAACCCGTATATTACTTTAATTCATATGAATTTTTTTTTGTAACGTCAGATGCAGTGATTGGCCTTTTTCACCTAGCCAACAATTTCTGGCTTTTGTGAGAGTACATCTACTTCCTGATCTATCTTAACCGAATCCCATACAGTTCAGAACCTCAACACTGATTTCACTATCTCAATACCAGGCGGAAACTAAGTAGTTATTGAAAAACGACAATTAGCACAAAAACACTAATAATGCTGATTCATAGAACGAAGCTTTAATGACCAATTCCATCATCAACTATCATAACCTTAATAACCATCATTGTGCCTAAGCATGCCATGATCATGTTTCAGTGAAAAAAATGAGACACTTTGCAACAAAAAGTAATCATCTACATTAACCATCAATTCTATTTTCCAACTACAAAAACACAAGCAAATAAATACTGGAAAGATGTGTACTTTGAATTCTTATTCGATGTTGATAGAAATCCTTCAAAACCTTTTAGCGCGTTCCCAAAAGTGCCCGATTCTTGCAAATAACTCGTCTCTAGCTCATAAACCTACATCAAACCAATACCCATATTTGAACAACAAAATAGAATAATGTGAAAAACCAACAACATCTCACAAGACATAAGTTGCAAATACTCAAAATTACAGCAAAAACTTATTACCACAACATATCAAACTAACAATATTTTTAAAAATCAGTAAAGGAGCACGAAATATACTACTCCTTCTGTTTCAATTTTTGCCTGGTTTTCACTCAACACGTAATTTAAGAAAGTAAAAAGTCAGTAAAGCAGCACGAATTATACAACTTCCTCCATTTCAATTTGTTTAAAGTAAACCAAAACTTTTGAATCTTTTGGACTAGTTGTGGTCACCAAAATATACCTTAATCTCGTGGTCTTAAACATGTCAGCTATAAAGCTAAAATTAAAAGCTCACCAAAATATGAAAAAAAACATTCTTTTTAAAACGAACTAAAAAGAAAAGTAAGACAAACAAATTGAATCGGAGAGAGTAATATCCAACTAAGGATCATCTACAACGAACTTCATAATCAAAATAATAGAAATTTTCAATAAAGATAGTCTTTTTACTTGTTTTTCAACATTTCGTAGTTCTTCTTGAAGCTTTTCTCTTTTGTTCAACAGGGATGCAAGAACAACCTTAGGATTTGAACCTCTGTGCCCTAATGGAAAATTTTACAAATTAAAAAAAAAAATCCCAAATTTTGATAAGAAAAATTGAAATTAGGGTTTGAAGGGGTTACCATGGAGCTCCATTTTCCCGGCAATTAATTTTTTGAAGATAAAGCTGTAATTTTTAAAAAAATCAGCAGCCACAACGATGAGTTTTATCAGTGAGATTGATGAGTGTTAGCTTTTGGACAAAATAAAATGTATTTTATCTTTAAACATTAACTACAAAATTGAAAAAATGATTTAAATGAAATGGGCTTTAGAGAAAATCACTTTTTGAGTAATTGGGCTGATTCAATATTTATGAACAAGAAAAGAAGGCTTTGATGTCCAAAAAGTTTCTATTTGGGCCGAGTGGTATTTGATAAGACGGAGAGTGTGTTCAGTACGAAAGAAGATATTTTTTAGAAAAATAAGTGATTTTTCTTTTAATGAGGATCGTCTTTGGGTCAGTTTTCGCGTATCTTGATTAATTTCATAGGATACATGCCACCTTCCACTAACAATATGTATCAGGTAATTATGTCCACCAACAATGACAGATTCAAGATTTTCATTCAGGATGTTCGAAAAAAATAAAAAGTATAAACGTGTGAATAAGCCAACAAAACACATTTCCAAGAAGTAGTAGTATATAGTTTATAGATACAAAAGTTAGTTCCTTTACTAGAGACTTTTGAGCACGTTTTATTTTTTTTTGGGTTTAAATCTACTCTTTTAGCACTTTTTTTTTTATTTAAAAAAAGCGTGAAAGATTGGTCTTGAAACTAAATGAAGAGAAGTGCAAAAATAAAAAATGTTGATAATGAGATTCAAATTCTGGACGTCAATTTAAAAGGAGATCTACCACTATGCTACAACTTGCTTCTTGTTCACGAAGGGGCTCAAATTTAATATATATACATATAAATACATAAAATTTACCTTATAAATATCGTGTAATTTTTTATGAGGAGGTTTGGGTGAACCCCTGGAGCCCACGTGGGTCAGCCCCTATCCACCAAGACATGGACAAATAAAAATGAGATACTCCTATGTTAGAGTGTGGGAGGACGCAATCAATATGAAATCGTAAAACTTGTTTCCTAATTCCTATACTTCTATTAGTGAAATCATTTTTTTCAATTTCACAATTATACTTTTTTGAGAAAATATTTTTCAAAAAAATATTTAACACAATAGACTTTAGCTAGCAAATTGAATTTTAATTTGAGCAAGAATTTTTTAGCTAGCAATAGTTTGGGCGTACACGCGTCGAACCAATGAGTCATGCTGCATTAGATTGTTGTACGTAGTGCTTATCCACTTGTACACTATCGTTTATTTTTCCTTCGGTGGCTGCTTTTGATTCTACTTCAAATTTCAAACAATTCTCTTTCTATAGTCTCTCTCTAGGTCGCTGCTGATCGCTTTAACCATGTCTTTCAGAATCAGAGGGGTAAGTTTTTTTTTTTTTTTTGTAATTTGATCTGTTTGATAGATCTGATTTTGCTTTGCATGGTTGAATTACTTATCTGTTTGTTTCTGAATTTTTGCTTTATAGTACAAAATTTGCTTAATTTGATTGAGGGAAATCTGAGTTTTCCATTGTTCTGAAGTTATATCGAACTGATTCATATACTTGCTGTGCTGGCTGATCTGTTTTGAGTCATGAATCCCCGAGCATTATTGCTCGGGAATTCGAGTTGAAACAAAATTAGTGGTGGTAATGCTTGAATAGAGAGCACCAAGATTGAGGCTTTATCACAAATAATTTGAAGTTGAGAAAATTACTTGAGCCCAGGCCGAGGGTCTATTGGAAACAACATCTCTATCCACCCTCCCTAGACCATGCTTGTGGAATTATACCGAGTATGTTATTGTTGTAGTTTTGAAGTTGAGAAATCATTGAGGATTTAAGTTTTGAATAGGTTGAGCAAACTTGTTTTGTTTGAGGTTTTTGCCTTTTATCTTGGTGGGTTTGGGAGCGGTGGTGATTAGAGATCTATTTAGTCACGAGGAGTTGGAGTTGGAGTTGGTGTTGGAAGTCCATATTTCATAATGGAAACCAGTTGATGACCGTCGTGTCCGGGACATCTCCACGGGATACCTTCCACCTACCACCACCAACAAGTACTAGGTAACTCTGTCCACCAAGGCTAGGACAGATGGGACCTAGTGTTTTTTTTTTATTTGAACCTGAGACGTGTTGGCTCTCAACCACTTCATTGACCTTTGGGTGCGATTCTTCCATAATTAGAGACTTCATTCTTGATTTTCTTCATTTGACTTCTGAAGGGATTTGATGAAACAAAATTCAGTCGAGGCCTAGTAAGCTATATATCTATGTTTCATCATTCTAACAATACAAACTACTTGTACAAATTTTGTTCTATTATACCTGTGGTTCTTCTTTAGAGAAAATTTATTGAACATTTGTTATGCTTCTAGACAAATGCATCCTCTGGCATGGGGGTTGCTGATCAAAGCAAAGCTACTTATATGGAACTGCAAAGGAAGAAGGTGCATCGATATGTGATATTTATGATTGATGAGAAGAAAAATGAGGTTGTGGTTGAGAAAACTGGAGGTCCAGCTGAGAGCTATGATGATTTCACTGCAGCTCTTCCTGAGAACGACTGCCGATATGCAGTATACGATTATGACTTCGTGACACCTGACAACTGCCAAAAGAGCAAAATTTTCTTCTTTGCCTGGTAAGTTATAATTTCATCCAGAACTTGCATAACTGGATTTTCATCAAAGAGACGTGTCCCACCTTATATTGTACATGTTTAAGACTCTTTTCATGATTTCATATGCTTATACAGTTCTCTGTGAATGTTGCTGCACTATTCAGCAGTCTAGAATAGGGATTCCAATTTTCAAAAGAAAACATGGGGGGTGTGTTGGTTGCTGTTTTATCATAACTTCAGTCTATATGTGCAAGGGGAATTTTGCTCTCATTTATGAATGTTGGTTCCAAATTATCTACAATGCTGTCAAGTCACCACATTAATGATTTTAACAGAGCAGGCACATTCAAATTTACAAGTATCAAGCTTTAGTGTCAAACCAATTGAGTGAGTGATTTGAGAGTAAAATGGAATAGTTGATGGATAGTTTTTCTCCTTTATGGAATATAACTAGCCCATGACGATGTGAATTGCAATTATGATGGTAGCACTGTAAGGGAGTGTCTGTGATGGCTGAAACAGTTGAGTTAATCGTAGAGAGAGCAAGAGGTCAGGGGACCATTTGTGTTGTGTTATTATGTATGTGGCTTAGGTTTGAAAGAAGGGAGCTTTTGAGAAGTAAAGTTGACAGCTGTAGTGGTCGAATACTTGAGGTACATGTGAAGTGAACGTCAGTGTCTTGAGAAAATGTTATAGTACTGAGAATGTGAGAATAGCCATATGAGTAAAACTTGCATGCACATATTGCGAAAAGGTGGAAAACTGACCAGCAAAGGAATTGCTGATGCTACGAGGAACCATATCTTTTTAGAGACTACTTTGCAGTCGAGACAAATTGAGGTGAAGAATAGTTGGGTTCAGGTCTTTAAGAATTCATTTTTCCTATAACTAGAGTGTGTTGTTTTGTGCCTAGCATATCATTGTAAGAAAATTGTTTCTAGAGCTTAGTTAGGTATGTATCACTCTTTCTGCAGTGAACTTTAAGACCCAGCAGGATTATATTTAGAAGTTTTAGGAGGATGAAGAAATTCCCCATGTAGGGGTAGACGGTACGACAGTGTTTTTCTTTTAAGGGTAATTTTGTGACGTAAGTTCTTGTGATAAGGTCTGAAGATTTATGGAAATTATCCTTTGTGTAATGGGGATTGCAGAGCGAGTATATTTCCTTCAGTAGAAGAGACTAATTATTTGGCTAATTTTGAATTTTCATTTTGAGTCTTGGCATGTGTTATGGGGATTGTTTCTATATTGGTTTTGGGTTAGACCAAGTTCCATGTTAAGCTATTTATTTATTTACTTCAGTTCTTTTAATTTCTCGTCTGTTGTGTACTCGCAATATATCCTTTCGAGAATATGAAATTTTCTCCCTTCTCAGATCCGTGAAGCAGTGTTGTATCTAAAATAGATTCTTATCTTCTTATTGCTAAGTCCTTGGTCCTTCTTCTCCTTGACAAGACAAACTAAAACATGACAAGAAACACGACAGAAATGAAGGGAAGTCTTCAGTAGGAAAATGTTGTCAAAAGTAGTGCATTTTTGGAGAGTTCGAGCAATTTTTACTTTGGGTAATCATTTCATCAGATTAATTTAATTACGAAAGAGGTGATATTCTAATCCATCATTTTCAGGTCTCCGTCTGTTTCCCGAATCCGATCGAAGATGCTGTATGCCACATCTAAGGACAGGTTCAGGAGGGAGCTGGAAGGCATACACTATGAGATTCAAGCTACTGACCCTACTGAAGTAGAACTTGAAGTGCTCAAAGAACGCGCTTACTGATTGATCAAACATCCTACTATGAACCAACCATTCATAATATTTCTGTGTAATCGCGTCTTACAAGGCTCGATCTACTTAACTATATGGCATAAATAACTCGGCGCTTGGGTTGCTGATTACCAGACTCATGATAGTATATATATCATGTTTTCTGGTTATGAGCTCGCTCATTCTCATGATGCTTCCCAGTATGGTGTTCTCTATGTGAATGGTTATCAAATTCTTCAGTATGTCTACGCAATGAATATTATGTGGTGTTAGTATCTGACCGATGATTTTTCTGTTGTTTTTCCTCTCATAACTGACATAATTATCTTGTCAATCTGTTGGGGGATAGTTAAATACATCTTTAGCTGAAACTACAGCGCGTTTTTTGGTCGCTATACAAACCATGTACTACCAAGATTCACCATAAATTGACTAGTTTTACGCTTGTCCTATACTCACGTTATTAGATTGTTGTTAACATGAATTTTTAAATCGTGGTCTAAAAGGTCTATATGTTGCGATAAAAATATAAGGAGGGCACTCACACAACAATTATTAGACAATTATTGTAAAAAAATTAACCGGCAAAAAATTCTGCTACATAAACAAAATAAATTGGTAAGATTATGTACGACATGTCTGGAAAATTATTGTGTAATGATGAACACAGTATTGTTTTCTCTAAATATAAAAAAAATATGCAAATTTGCTACTATTAGAGGATATGGCTTTAGTGAAAATATTA